TACAGTCAAGATCTTGGATACAAGATAATTTTTAGGATTTTGTACGCAAGATCATGGGCAAGATCTTAGGAACAAAAATATCTTGACATCCTGTACCAAAGATCTTGCCAAGATCTTTTCAAAAAAATCTAAGATGTCAAGATCTTGGTTCCAAGATGTTCGACTAGGGCAGTCCTTAGTGTCTACTGTGACTTTTCTAATTAATAGATTTAGTACTATTACTTTTATTCAACGTAGACCCGTTTTCAATTCATCTTCAGTACAATTAAAAGTAAGTACAAAAAACTACAGAAAACGCCTGTTTTGTTATATACGGAAAAGTAAGACATACTTTGTAAATGCAGAGAGATATCGTGTAATCACGACATCTCTCTGTATTATTAGTAGAGCAATTGCGCATCTCGTATGATGATTGGTCTAAGCTTCCTTCTTGAGTAATGTGACGAATGAAAGAAAGAGAAGTTCTTTGTTTTGCCCTGTCGCTCATAATTAGCTTTAACTAATGAGGAACATTTTTCAGGAATAGAAAACAGGATGCTCATCGCGCGTAGAATTTCTGTAACCCTTAACTGCTTCAAAACTTGATATGAATAACCGTTCCTTTGGGCTTAGAACTAAAACCCTATATGGAACATCTTTGTATCTATGCTTGTCCATCTTCATATAGATAGCACATAAAAATCAAATGATTATTCATTTGATATAGTATCCTACTCTGAGTGTAACTTTGTATGTATTAGGATTGTGGAGCCACACGCTAATCAGACGGGCTTTCTAGTAGTGGTTTAATCAGACTTTGTGGCTGACGAGGGAAGTACCCCAACTGATAAATCGCTTTTTGAACGAAACCTAGTGGACTATAGGTAGTCGGCGATGCTGATTCCGAATATTACCATGAATGCTGCTGCTAGGCCTTCAAAGACCGATTTTCTGGAAAACCAGTTTTCGAGAAACTCTAAAGAACAACCAAAAGCTTTCTTAATGAAGCGTAATTGTAGTCCATAAATTTCTGAGTAAAACGAGCCATCTTCCAGCTCTACAAGATCTTTCTTTGCAAAGTTATAGAGTTTACAAGAAAAGCCCTGAATGTTCATTGTCACTTCGGAGCTACAGAAAGAAAAAGGAAAAAGGAATTTAGCTTTTGGTTGTTCTTTAGAGTTTCTCGAAAACTGGTTTTCCAGAAAATCGGTCTTTGAAGGCCTAGCAGCAGCAGTCATGGTGATTATTCGGAATCAGCATCGTCGACTACCTATAGTCCACTAGGTTTCGTTCAAAAAGCGATTTATCAGTTGGGGTACTTCCCTCGTGAGTGTACTCGTACATTCTTCTTTTCCTACATCAGTACACTTCGATTTCTCGCCAAATGAAGCTATTGCACCTAGAAGATTAAGACTAATGTTGCGAGAATTAATGCTACCAGTATAGGACACCTCGTACCAGACCGACTTTTTCCTCAAAAAAGTTAGATCGTCCAATAAAATTGAATAAAATTTTCGTAAAAATGTCTAATTAACGTAAAACCTAAATAATATACTTCAACACAAAGAGAAAGCATTATCTATGGTCTATCTCTCGAGCAAAGTAAGTTAAGTCATTCTGTCTAATACGCTGAAGGCAGTTTTCTCTTTTGTACATTGATTGTGTGGAATATGTATTACACGAAAGATGTCGCATTTTAAAGTCTTCTAGACGCATACGCGATTCTTTTACTTGAGATATGTCGAATTTGAACGTTTCAATTTACTTTAGTTGTCATAAAATTCCTTTTTCTTGCAAAATCTAACAAAATAAATCGCGTAACTTTTGAAATACCTCACTTTATAACGACACCCTAGTATTTTTACTACTCACAGTTTATAGGACCAAATAAAATATGTTAGCGTTTGTTCATAGAGCGCTACTGTTTATCAATTCTCTGAATTACAGATTATCACAAAGCGGGCTAATACATTAGAGGTCATAATTTTTCAATGTACCTGCCTGTCGGATCGAGAAAAAAATGGTACGTAGCTATGTCGATGTAATAGTTCGATGAAGCTACGCAAGTTTTATTCTGTTCTCCTGAAAATTCGCCTTTTGACATCTAACAGTAAACAGAAGAGTTGTTAGATTTCTCTTCCGCTTTTCAAAGTTATTCAGGGATTAAGGAGCGTTAGGCAATTATGGAGAATTCGTAGGAATGTTTGAGCTGCGGTTTAATTTCTGATTTTTTTAGATTGCTATTTTGTTTTCGTCATTTATTTCAAATTGGAATGACTGCTAAGGATCAAAAATCATCTGCACCGAACAATTCACATCAGTAAAAAATCTTTCCCTATGCACTTTACTTTTTTTGATAGTGACTAATTGTTTAGGACAACATTGTACAAAGATATCGGACCACATCAATGGCCTATTATCTATTCAAGTCGTTATAATATTGGATTTATGAAAATGGAGAAACTCCACCCGTTTGATTCAGGAAAATGGGGTAAAATCATACGATTTTTAAAAGAAGGTGACATGATCACAGATGATACAATTGTTGAGCCACAAGAAGCAACAGATGCGGATCTATTAGTTGTACATACAACACGATATTTATCGAGTTTAAAAGTAAGAGTTTCTTTATGTCTCTAATGAATGCAATCTAAAATTCGAGACAGCTGTTTTATTGTAAACTCAGCATCTTCTTTAAGAGTGTCCCTCCCCCCATTTGTGGCTCTTCGTAAAACCGCTGCGCGAAATAAATCAAAAGTGATAATGAGTTCGTGTTTTCCGGATAAATGAGAATTTATTTTGGGTACTTTTTTTGTTTCAACTCTTTATCTATCATCCTTTGCGGGATTTCAAGAAAATTCGAGTTTTCGTCGGCATTCAATACGACCTCTCAAAAAACTCAGTCGGGCTCGAGTTTTTACCAGAGATAGTTGTGGTGCTATCTCAGAGGGTTCTTTTTTCTTTTCTGGAAATACTGCTTCCTTCGCGATTCATAGCAAAAATACTAAAAAACCGATAAAAAACCTTATGAAACGGGAAGGAAGCAGTATTTCCAGAAAAGAAAAAAGAACCCTCTGAGATAACATCTCAACTATCTCTGGTAAAAACTCGAGCCCGACTGAGTTTTTTGAGAGGTCGCATTGAATGCCGATGAAAACTCGAATTTTCTTGAAATCCCGCAAAGGATGATAGATAAAGAGTTGAAACAAAAAAAGTACCTAAAATAAATTCTCATTTATCCTGAAAATACGAACTCATTATCACTTTTGATTTATTTCGGGCAGCGATTTTACGTACAAAAAATGGGGGAAAGTTACCATTAAATGGTAAGAGAAATATGTTAAATTTGACAAATAATCCTTGAGACACTAACTTGTGAAACATCTTTCCCTTTTGTCTCTAAAGTAGAGATCTCTTTTCTTTTTAGTGGAGTATTAATGTGGCAAGAGTCTTGGAAGTTCCTCCAATTGCCTTTTTACCAAATTTTCTCGTACGATCACGGGTTTTACGACCATTACGTTATCAAACTGGTGGAACCATTCTCGTAAATTTTATTTTCTTCGTTTGTTTATTAATGTGCTTTATTATAAAAAAAATTAAGTTTTCTGTTGATTACAGGCTGGAAAACTGGCGTTAGAACGGGGTTTTGCGATCAATGTGGGCGGTGGCTTCCATCACTGTAGTGGCGATGCAGGAGGGGGATTTTGTGCATGTAAGTTGGTCAAAGAAAAGTATTTATCTATGGGTTTTATTATTTTTTATCTAGATGCTGATATAACGTTGCTGATACATTTTCTATTCAATCATTATCCGGAGAAAATAAAAAAAGTTATGATCGTCGATTTGGATGCTCATCAGGTTCGTCATTTTTCAAAAACAACGTACATCTGAGAATAAATCGTTGTTTCATTCTAGGGTAATGGACATGAACGTGATTTTATGACCAATGAAAATGTCTTTATAATAGACATGTATAATAGTAGAATTTACCCACATGATGAATCTGCTAAAAAAGCCATCGATTTAAAAATAGAACTTGAACATCATACAAACGATTCAACATATTTAAATTTGCTCGAAAAACATTTAGAAAAGTCATTGGATTATTTTCATCCTGACTTTGTTGTATATAATGCGGGAACAGATATTTTGATCGGAGATCCACTAGGAAATTTAGATATAACACCAAAAGCAAGAGAAAATAAAAAAAGAAATGAATATTTTGTTTTTTAAATAAATAAATGTTTTGTAGGGGGTTGCAACACGAGATGAAATTGTCTTTACAAATTGTATTAAAAAACGTCAAATTCCAATTGTAATGTGTACAAGTGGAGGTTATCAACAAACAAATGCACGAGTTATTGCCGATTCATTATTTAATCTACATAAAAAAGAATTGATTTCATGTGATGCTGCCGAAGAGTATATTAAAGAAATGAAAGGAAAAAAACATTAAATTGTATTTTTTTCTTGAAAAACTTTCAAAGAAAAAAGAAAAAGGTTAATAAATATTCAGTTAATCTTACGAATCGTTATCACATTTTTTCTCTTTTTAGAATAATTATCATTAGTTTCCTCTTTGAATCTAATATAAATACCATTTTCTCATAATCAGATAAGAATAATACCAGTGAGCAATGGCCAACGATTTTACATAAACATTGTTGAATCAATAGTTATTAAAATTCTGTAAATATTTCGGTTTTTATTTTATATATTTTTCTGTTATTCTAGTTCTATTATTTTAGAAGATTTTTATTTTTTACTTTTTCTTTGTCCGTAACAGTATTTATTTTGTGAAACTCCTCCTTATCTATACTGAAGAAACATTGAAATTACAATTTATATAAAAAAATGTATATAGCAAAAATGGAGACATATATTTTATTATCATACAAGTAGCTATGGAGGAGTTACATTTTTACATTTTTAACCTCATTTTGGACTCGTCTGAGTTCTAAAAAAATGTGTGACATTTTTAATCTCCTTCCAACTTTTTGAAGAATAAGTTTTTGTTCGACGAATGTATTTTCAGATATTTTATATATAAAAGAAAAGAAAACAAATATGAACATATTTTATCGACAACTTTCTTCTCGGTACGTCTGTTTCGAAAGGATCGGACACGTTTCAGCGTTTTATAATACAAAAACTTCTAAATAAAAAAAATATGCGTAATTTTCATGTAGAGTATTTTTTTCACATTTTATTCCTATTCTAGATTGTTAACAAAAATGGTTGAAAAAAAAACTGTAAAAGATTTGGAAGAATTGAAAACTCTTGTCAATGAACTTGGCAAAGATAAACGTATATTTGTCTTATTTTCTGGTTCAAAGGATAAAAATGGTGAAAGTTGGTGTCCAGATTGTGTGACAGGTAGTTGATAGTGAAACAATTTTTTATTATTTCTATCAATATTTTTTTTTTGATAATTTTAGCTGATCCAAAAGTTGAAGCGAGTTTAAAACATATGCCAGATAATGGTGTTTTTGTTTATTGTCCTGTCGGTGATCGAGCAACGTAAATTTTGAGAAAATTAAACTCTTATTAGTTTGTATAATTTTGAATTTTTTTTTGTTTTGTTTTCTAGTTGGAAAGATGCAAATAATCCATTTAGAAAAGACCCGGCAACACGGTTAACCAACGTTCCAACATATCTAGAATATGGCACGGTATGAAATGATGAATAAACAGGATAATAAAATTATCGTCTTCAATGAACATAGAAATGAGACAGTTTCAATTTGTAAGTTTACAAAATATTAAAATAGCTAAAAAATTTTATTTTTGATTTAGAAAAAGAAATTAGTTGAAAGTGAGTTGTTGGACGAAGAAATGTACAATATTTTATACGAAGACTAAATGTTTTTCATGATCATACAATGTGGTTCAACTTGATTTTTGACGTAGTTAAACGCAATATAAATGATTCCTATCTGATATCACCAAGTGTGCTTTCAATCCAATGGTTGTACAATCGGACTCTTTTTGTTCACAATCATTTATTTTTATGCAGTGATTTTTTTTTTTTTTGTCAATTATTAGTTTTTTTCTATATATAAATGTTTTCATGTGATAGATTGAAGAGTTTATATATTAAAATTATTAGTTAAATCAGAAAATAGCATTGAATTTTTGATGCAATAATATATATATTTATTATTATGTTTTCTTCGTTACTCCAACACCATCTATATCTTACTGATATCTTATAAATGTAGATTAAAAATGAGAAAAATATTTAATATTGTTCTGTGCACAATTTAAAAATATAAAATGTCAACTGGATAGTGTTTTTCCATTAGTTTTCTGCATAATTTTTAGGTGACCTATCGACTGATGAAGGTGATGATAAGAAGGATGGATCTGGTCTAATTCATCAAGGTAAGAAGAAAATTATTTTATTTTGATTTTACTTTTTTTGTTGAAAAATCAAACTAAACTCTACTTTTCTTCTCTATTCACGAACATACAAATGGACTTCGTGTGATAAACGATTCTATTCGGACAGTACAGAAAAAGGGAAAAAAACAAACATCGTCTCAAAGTAAAAGAAATGTCTTTACTCATTTCATTCATTTTAAACTACAGAAATATTTTCATCTTACAGATAGTGGATCATCTCCATTAAAGTATCAACGTACTACAACAAACAGAAGCAGTAGATCAACGAGGTTTGAATTTAGTTTATTATCATTTGTACGTTTAATAAGATTAATGATCTATCTTCTTTATTTTATAGCAATAATTTGATCAACAATGCAGAACTCAGCATAGAAGAGAAAGAAAATAAAGAATTATGTAACACTCACCCGTTGAACACGGTTAATTATTCAAAAACAGCTAAGCGATGTGAAAAATTGAATAAAGAAGCTTCAATAAATAAAAGTAATGAGACGCAAAATTCTCGGTTAAAACGTGGTAAACTTCAACAACCTATACAAGATGAAGAAATCAGTGACGATGATACAGATCAATGGTTTATAAGCGACGAACTTGATAAAGCTTTATCTCAGTGGCAAACAGAAAATGGTTTATCTGATGAATGCCTTAGAGAATATAAACAATTGTATCGAAAATATGGTCCGATGCCTGCATTGGAAGAACTCCAAGAATATGAAAAGTCTTTACAGAAATGAGCTCAAATTAATTTTTTTGCACAGCCAATGTACTTTATTATTTTTTTTTGTAAATAAATAAATAATCGTCTGTACTAAACTAAACAATGAACACCAAAACGTTTTTACAAGAAAAATGTGTGACACTTCGTAAACAATGATAAAAAATGTCTATACATCCCATAAGGTTTTGGACATTACAATATTGTGATTTTTGATCAAACTTTTGGATTCGAGCATCGTAGAATCAACACATATTTCTATTGTCAAAAGTCAAATTTCAGTTGCTAATATTAGTTTTTGTTATTTTGATTACATTCATCGATTAAAGTACATATTTTATTGAAATAAAGTTCACTCTTTTGTGGATCAAAGGTCACTGTATTATCATTGTTGAGTTTAATTCGATAATATCTATCTTCTGAACTAATATCATGCACAACAATTTCATTAAAATCGGATAATTTTGGATCACACGATATATTTTTTTGACCAATGGATGGATTCAAATAGATTTGAAAATCATTCAAATTATAATGTGGATTGTTGTTATACATATTACAATATGTTTGTTTGTCACCATCTTTTAATATAAATGTTTTGATCAAATTAAATCGATCATTGTCATTTTTACTCATTTTGTACAAATCCAATGATATATACAAATGAAAGAAACAATAGTCAACCTTGTATTGTTTATCGAGCAAAAAGTCTGTTTTATGTCTGTCTAATAGTTTATTTGTTTAAATTCTTTTTATGTGAATTAAACTTTATCTTCCGGTATTTGATCAAATTTAATTTCAATGTGAATACAATTTAATTGAAATATGTTTTACTTTTATAACATATTTTATCAAAATGTATATGTATATATATATATATTATGCACCGTTTGCTTAATAAATGATAAAGTTTAACAGGTGCATCACGAACACAATGAATCATGTACCTTTATATTATGACGTAATATCAACTTATTAACTTGTCCTTTATATGCATGATGTGTTACACCTACTATAATTTTTTATTGAATTGTCGCTGGCAGTCAATGAACGAAACAGCATATAAAATATACTTCATATGATAATAATTCATACGAAGAAACAACAAAAGTAGCTTCCGATCTAGGATAAATGAATTTTCTTAGTAGTGAAGTAAAATAAAAAAAGAAGGGATGAGTACTTTTAAAGTTCGTTTAATAGAGACTTTAATGAAGTACAAAAATCGGCTTCATCTCTTCACAAAAAAAAAACTAGATAGGTTTGCAAAATTGTTTATGAACTTTTTACAGGAAGAGTTCAAGATGTCCATACTGGATAGACCTTTGACTTCAATCACGATCAGACATCAGATTCATACTATTTTTTAATGTTGAATCTGAAGAAAACTCTTTTAAAATATTAGAAGAATGGAACAGAAAACAATTTGGGTTTTATTTGAAACCGAAGCATTTTTCGAAAATTTAAATCCCTCAAATATTTTCAACTTTTCGACATGGAAAAAAACGTTTCAAACATTAAAACACATATTTTCTGAATCAGCTAAACGTGCTCTATCCCACCATGTGTAAAACAAACGAAAACAAAAAATTCTGCTACAAGTTTGCGTTTCCGACACCGTACAAATATAAACTTTCATAAGAGAGTTTATTATTGCTATGTATTTGATTATTAATTTTTTTTGAAATAAAAAAACTAGAATCTCAATCATGGACGTCATAAATTTTCCATAATATCTCAACTGTTTTATTAAAAACAATTGTTACAATAAAAAACAACAGAAAAGAGAAAAAACGATATGCCTGTCTTGGGTAATAAAACATTAACGAAAATCATATATAGTTCCTTAATTCTATTATTTATTTTTCTTTTAATCTTAAAGATCATAGACTTTTGGTAGTTCATTACCGAGTACATCAATTCTTTCAACTCCTTGTGCATCAATAACAGCTAAACGTGCACATCCACCACTCGATCCATCACGTGTTATTGCCAATGTAATTGCTAAAATTAAAAAGAACGAAAATGAATACATTGCTTCTAAAATGGAAACGTTGTTCGTTTTAACCTTTTAAAACAAGTTCTAAACATTCTTTTTTTGTCATATTGGGTTTATAGTTGTTATCCAAAAAACCCCAAATATAAGTACTGCCCGAGCCACCAAGCGAAACTGGTTGTCGAACTAGTAGGCCACCCAATGGACAAGAATAAACCTAAAATGACTGCTTAACTAAGCAATAGTCAAATTTTTTAAGTTTAGAGTTTTACATACTTGTCCTCCAAGTTTTTTGTCCCATCCAGCAACAATCATTCCAGCAACAAAATCGTCTCGATATTGATAAATCATTCGTCTCACACAATTAGCAGCAATTTTTACTAATGGTGGTTCATTCATTTCAGCTCTTAAAATATAGACAAACACATGACTCATGTTTAATTTGATATTATTGAATTAAATATAATATAAACATACGATAGAAATTCTAACTGATATTGAACAACTTGTGAAATAGCTTGTGTATCAGCTGCACTTCCTGAACGTAGACAATATATGCGATCTGTTAACGGTGTTAATTTATCAGTGAAACGATTCACAACAAATGAACTAAACACAAAAAAAAGAATTTAATTTAGCTTCTAGCCAAGGAAGAAGGATTATCTTAATCTTACCCAGCTGATGTACGAGTATCAGCTCCTAGGACAACACCGCCATCATATTCCATAGCGATAATTGTTGTCTAATATAGAAAATATTTTTATCAACGTGAAATATTTTATTTGTAAATATGTCAGTTACTCACCCCAGTTGACACTGGTTGATGACGCATCTCTGCTGGAATTAATAATTTATCCATTTGACTATATTGTTTTTGATGACGTAATAATTCTTCTTCAGCATCGTACGTTGGAGGATTACAGACATCCATATCTGAATAATATCTAGTTTTAAATCTAGAAAATTTACAACAATGCAACAATTCCATTATTATATTTTGTGATGATTATATACAAAATGGCATGTCCATGTCAAACAAACATTTTAAATAAGAAAAAGTCACCTGAGAATCTTACACAGCAAAAGACTTTTCAATCTCTTCTTTCAAAACAGATAAAATTATAAAATTTCAGAGTTAAAAACATCGTGAAACATCTTACTTTCCCTTCCACGAAGAAAAATGAAAAATATTCTTCATGATTTTTTATTTAGTTATACAAAAAAAACAAGGACAAGAGAAACGAAGATAAAAAATACGACAAAAAATGAACTTTTTTCAAATGTCCATTAATTATCGCACTGAACGGAAACTTTTTTTTGTCTATAATTTGTTGCGATTAATTAATTATAAGTCATATATCGAGGTGTCGAACTAAATTTGGCATAAGCTTTAATAACTTTGTTAATTGCTTCTAGAAAATCTTTTTCCGTGGCTATTTTTCGTCTTGCTCTTATAGCAAACATTCCAGCTTCAGTACATACACTACGTAATTCAGCACCTAAAAAATCAAGAAAGAAAACATATGGATAATGCACAAATTTTGCACGCGAGTTTTTAAAGATCGAAAACTTATTAAAACTAATTATAATTATCAGGATCCGTTGCTTCATTTTTAAGTAATATCTACACATAGTATCCAGTATGAAAAATGAATACAGTACATTACCTGTACTGTTCGGACATAATCTTGCTAGCAATTCATAACGAATATCTTTTTCAACACTCATTGATTTTGTATGAATTTTAAATATGTGTGTTCGACCCTAAGCAGAATGTAAAAAAACAGTTATATTCTATTTTAACATGATCTTACGTATTATTTTAGCATACTTCTAGGTCAGGTAGATTAAATTCAACTTTTCTGTCCAGTCTTCCAGGTCTTACTAATGCTGGATCAAGAGTATCTGGACGATTTGTGGCCATCAATACTTTTATATTTCCTCTCGGATCAAAACCATCTAATTGATTAATTAATTCTAACATAGTACGTTGAACTTCATTATCTCCACCGGCTCCATCGTCAAATCTTGCACCACCAATAGCATCGACTTCGTCAAAAAATATAATACACGCTTTCTTTCCACGTGCCATTTCAAATAGTTCACGAACCATACGTGCACCCTACATAATACAAGAGATAGAAGATCTAAAGAAGAATCATACAAAAAATACTTACTTCACCAACATATTTTTGTACAAGTTCAGAACCAATTACACGA